TTCGGACAGCCCACCCGTTTGAACTAATAAAGTGCCAGGGGCCTAAGTGGTCACCTCAATATTAAAAAAAAAAAAAATAAATAATAATATATATATATATATATAGAGGAGTCCCCGCAATAGCAGAAATGGTTGACCTCTACAAAAACCATATTTATGTTATCTTACTGCACCTTAGTACAGGCAATGCTCTAACAAAACTGTTTTTCTTTAGTGGAAAAATTGGTCCAAGTGATTGTTGGGGAGAGTTGTATAACGATTTGATAATTTTAAAATATTTTAGTATCAAAATTATAGATTTTATTATAATAATTATATTTATTCTATATTAATAAAAAAATTGTAATTGAATATAATTAAATAAAATTTAGAAAATTTACAAATAAGAGCCCAGAACGTGAAAATAATTACAAATTAAAAATAATTATATATAAGAGCCTAGTTTATAAAAAATATTACATATAAAGGCCCAAAATAACTGCGACATTATTCACACCTGTGGCTTGATTGTTAGTAAGAAATATAAGTATTGTATAAAATATATAATAAGCGATTGTAAAAAAAAATAATAATTTGAAATTGGAATGCAAACTCTGCCTTTTTTATGCTTGTTTTATTTTTTTTACTAATAGTTATTGCAGTCTATTTATGCTATGAGAAAATTTATAGTAAATTTTTGACAAAAGCAGAAGAAAATTTGGGGCGTTTTGGCAAGTCAGTTAATGATATTATTGAAAAGTTAAAAAGGCATAAAGAAGGCAGTTTAAATAAATCAGTTTCATTATACCAAGTTGGAAGTCATAAATATAGTTATAATAGCTTGGATGAAAGTAGACAAGAGGATGTTTATTTGTTGTTTAAAACTAATCAGGAGAATAAATGAACCGACCGACAAGTAAGTAGGGATGTCAAGTAAACATTGCGAATTGGCATGGCATTTACTAATATAGAAGATGCTGTTCAGCTTTAGAGAGCTATTCTATTGAAACTTCACCTTATGAATAATTGTGCTAGTTTAACGCAATATTTAAATAAAAATGATTATAACTAGCAATAAAAATTTCATAAAATTTGAATAGTTGGTTTCTGAGAAATTATTTATTAAAGAAAATTTTATCTGATTTGTTTTTTGAATAAATTAAACCTGAAGATTAATGGTTCTAATTTTAATACCATTTAAAAGGCTTTGGCTTCGGTAGGATTTTTGGTAAATATTTTTTGAACTTTGAAAATCTCTTCGATTTAAAGTAAAACTGGGATTATTATAACATGTGAGACATTACCAGAAGGTAAATCATATCATAGGTAGTGTCTTATTTTACATTATGGCATAAGATGTCTCTTATTACATGTGGTTTAATTAAATCACTTATCGAATGAGGTGAAAAAACATATAATTTTTAAGAAGTCTTAACAATCAGTATAAGCTCCTTAATTCTTTTTAATATTTGAAATCTATAAAATAATATATTTTTGCTATTGTTAATAATAATCTTTGGATTATATATTTTTAATAAAAAAATAAAAATCTTATCTGTTATTTATTATATAAAATTTCATAAAACCCAACAAAGAGAAAAAATGGAGCCCTTATATAATGTTTCGTTTGATCCAGAAAAGGAAACTCAATCTGATTTTGACAGAGAGTCAAATACTAATACTGATAATGCCTTCACGTTTGATTGGTGTTCATACGAAAGAGTAAAGGAAATAATTTTATCTGATAAAGAAATAGATGATAAATTAATTGAAAGTGATGAATCATCCAAGAGTAATGATAATGAAATAGAAATAATTAAGGAGGAGCGTGACATGCTACTTTCTTTTGAGATTGAGCGTTCTACAAAATTTACAAATTGTGTTATTATTGATAATGAAATCAGCAATAAGTCAACTGAAATTCAAAAATACAACAGTGTGGATTCGAAGTGTAAATCAATTATCAGGCACATGAGAGGTTGACTCTTAAACTGTAAAAGAAGTTGATAATGAGATCTCATAGCTAGGTATTTGTATGTAGCATTACAACTATGACCTAAAATATTTACATCCAGGTATAAGAGACAAACTATCTACAGAAAAAAGTATGATTACATTATGTCACTATCTTCTTTGTAACAAAATAAAATATTTTTTTACAAAAGGCAGGCATGTTTATCATCACATACCCAAAATGTTTGTAGACGCATTATCCAAGTTCTATGCTATGAATTATACAATTGTCTAGCAATTACCAATTATGAAGGTCTGTCAACTGAACCATTAGAAAATAAAAGACCTCGATTTATTTGTATGGACTGCTTTATTACATATAGAGGCCACTTGCACATTCGGCCAAGAATAAAAAAAAAACAGTTACACGTCTAGACCGAGAAGAACATAATACAGATATTACACTTGCCTTAAAGCTATTCAATAAATGGATTAAACAGATTGCTGAATCGAATAATGGTTCTTTAAAAGTTAATTTGTTAAAAGAACTCATCAAAGTATTTGGCAACATTACTTCTAATACTCTTGAGAATACTGTTATTATGTCTTTCACCATTTATTCAGAGTCTATAGTGCCTAGTTTTTTTTAATTAAAACAGTATTTGCTGTTAAAAAAGTTGATATTAGTGAAAAGAAGCGAGTGACACAATTAAAATCTACTATGTACAATGAATTTGGAAAAACACTCACTCATTCTGTATTACAAGAACAATTAGAACTCAAACAAAGATTACTTTTGCTTGAAGAGCCCAATTCACTAGATGAATATTATGATGCTATGCTATCATCTCTTGTAACCTTCTTTTTTGGCCTTATTTCAACTCTAATAGAAAATAAAAATAAGGTATTGGCTAGAAAACAAAAAGAATGAGGCTTGCCACTACCACAATTAGATGAAAAAAAATCAAAATGCATTCTCTTTTCTTCTTTTTGGTACTACTTACTATTGCCTTTCCTAATTGGAAAATTTGGTTTACTTATGTGCTTTCTTCTTTTTGCTAAAGGCCAAGAATAATTGAATATTTACATAAAATTCTTCATGCTGTTCAGGTTGTAGCACATGTTAGAGACTATGAAACAAGCATTCAAAAAAAACAGATGTTAGCTACAAATTCTTGTTCAAGACTTCTTGACCTAAATACAAATCCGAATGTTTTAAATCTTGCAGTTATAGATAATATTGTAAAAAACAAAACATTTCAATATGGTAATATTTACAAAGTAGTTTGAGCTACTATATATGCAACATTGCAGATTGTTTTTCAGTTTGAGAATCCAGAGCCTTCCAACTTCAAACAATTTGAAATACAAGATCTTTTTAGTATAAGCCCTATGATGAAAGCATGGAATATAAAAATAGATGAGATTTTTAGTCGATTAGTTAATCAAAAACAAATGTTTGGTATTGAACAAATCAATGCAGCTCTTAAAGAAAATGTTGAATTGGTATCATTTTCAACACCACCAAATGTTGTGATTCTTGAAGCTGGAGAGGCACCAAGCAAAAATGAGAATATTCATCAAGCCGTAGATATGTATATGGAAGATTTTAGATATACAGAAAATGGTGTGTTAAATTTGGTATGTGATAAAGCAATATATCATCATATAAGAGACTACAAAAATGAAAAGCAAGAAGTATATAGCATTTTAGGACAATGGCACACAAGTAAGACAATGTGCAGTATATTAATTGTCGCTTTTTCAGGATATGGGCTTTTCAGGCTTGTCGCACAACTTGGTGTTAAATTTCTCAATAAGCTTGAGAAAAATGTTGACTATCGATCAACATTTTGGGTATTAGAACTTATTTGGGCAGCCGTTGGAATTTTGCTTCATCTATATATACAAGAAAATACATTTCCATTGAAGATATTTCTGCAGAAGACAATAAATTATTAAAAGCTTGGCATAACTTTTACCAGTGGGCAGGATATCTAAAATTGCACAAACTTGGAATTTGCATAGCAAATTTTGACTTGCAAGTGCATAGTTTAATAGCATTTGCTTCTTTATTTCCAATAACAAAAAGAGTAAGATATACTGAGTCTGTGGCATGATTTTTAACAGATCTCCAATGCAAATCATAGTTACTTCAAGATTTTCGGGCAGCACCTTCAATAAATATGACTTTAGAGAGGAATTCTTATGCTCATGATAAAGCTTTAGAAACACTTGTAAGATATATAAAAGAAAATATGATCAGACATAAAGCTGATTTAGAAAATCTGAAATGAAATATTAAATCAACACAAGCAGAAGATAAATGACTTAACTTTTTAATTTCTGAGTTTACCGAAGATCAGTCAGTGAGCAAGAATCCACAAGTTGTTAAGGATTGGCAAGAAGTTCTCTGGAAATTGATTAATAAACTTAAAGCAAGATTAAGTAACCCACAGCCAGAATCACATACATTATTTATAGAACAACACAGTTGACAACAGCTAGCTATCAATGAATATTTCACTATTACCAATCAGAAATTAACAAAATAAATAAGGTCGCTACACAAATTAATCGTAATACAGCTGTTAAAGTAAAAATGAAACGTGATAAACTGGACCTAATACCTATGAAAGTAGCAAAAAAAAATAAAAAAAAATGTTAACCAAACAGAAACAATAGATGTAGAAGAAATAAGTAGTAGTTCTATTCATATTTCAGAATTACATGGTGTAACTGAAATATTCGGTTTTGGGTTGGGTTAGGTCTTTGTTAGAAGAGATTCAAGACGAAGAGGCTTTTATTTAGATAGTTTTTAGGACATAATCCACTATCATGTCCTAAAGACTATCTAAATAAAAGCCTCTTCGTCTTGAATCTCTTCTAACAAAGACCTAACCAAACAGAAACAATGGATGTAGAAGAAATAAGTAGTAGTTCTATTCATACTTCAGAATTACATGGCATGGATATTGATGAAATAGACCAAGACCCACACTTAGCATTATTGTCTGAAACTAATCTGCCTTCTGAAACCAACCTGTCTTCTGAAACTAATCTACCTTCTGAAACTAATTCGTCTTCTGCATCCAGGCCTCGAAAATTATATTCAATACACAAAACTGTACCTAAAGAAGAAAATATCTTAAACCAACTTGAAAAATATAGAAGCTCTTCTTTTTTGTCTAGAAAGTTTGTTGATAAGCTAGTAGAAGAGTTATCACTATATAACTATTGGACATTAAAGCAAATTTGGGATTGGTGGTATAACCGATATAAAAGATCAAAATAAATCACTTTAGATTCATAAATTATATAATGTTAAAACAAAAAATATTAATAAAAAATATTACTAAAAAAACAATTACTCTGAACATGTTTATAAATTTGCAATATAATTTTACTAAAAGAAAAAAAAGAAAAACTTATTAGCAAAAATTGCAATCTATATAGTATAAAACAGTTTTTCTTAATTTTTTGTATAATGGTTCTAATATAACAACTCTTCAAAATTGCATTTCACTATTGTGGTAAAATTTACTAAAAACTATCAAGCTTTAGCAAACTTTAAAGTCACGAGTGTTGAGTAGACTATCTTTTATTTAAAGAGAATAATAAAAAAGAAAGAAAATAAACAATTTGTATAATGGAATTTAAATTCAATAGCCTTTAAAGTACTATAAGAAGTTATCAATA